ATACAGATGAGGTCTTTCTCATTTCGCTCGGACCAGGACAATCGCGTTTTCGTTGTTACAGTACTCTGATATATACCCGTCACTTGGAGAATGAATATGACGAACAAGGACGTTGATGACGAACAGCGGGGATCCAACGACAACACTGGAGGATCTCGGCAAGTCCCTTTGCATAGTTTTTCTGTTCATGGCTTCAGGGTTAGTGGGTCTAGTCGACTGAGTGATAAGTCGAAGCTTAGCGTGTCGTTAATTGAAATGAAGGAACGCCATCCGCGAGACAAAATGGAGCAGCAGACGAAAGAACTCCAAGAAAGACGTAGAAGCAAACTGCTAGCAGTACGACAAGAATTGGAGACTGCAAGGCTTGCAGAAAAAATGGAGGATAAGTTGTCCATTCGTTCTACCGTGAGTGAGGATGGAAAAGATCAAATGGTGCAGTTTGTTGAAAACCATCCAGTATGGGAAACTAGGGAGGCGGGTGATCCTTTTGTTCCCAGGACAGCAGGGTTCGGTGAGCTAGAGAGAAAACATAAGACGACAACGTCCACATCAGACCGCATTACTGCAAATCTAGACCTACCCAAAGTAGAGCTTCTGTCTTTCGATGGGCGAATCACAATGTACTGGAGGTTCATTCGGCAATTTCAAATATAAGTTGCCTCCAAGACTAATGACGATGGGCAAAGTTTGTTATATTTGCTTCATTACTGTAAGCGGAACGCTAGGAGCGCAAATTGAAGAGTGCATCATGTTGCCACCCGCGGTTGGGTACGATAGGGCATGTACAATTCTCAAAGATCTCTTTGGGCGCTCACACAAGGTAGCGCGCTCAATTTTAGATGGATTACTGGAGGGTCTCAACATGAATGACGTAGACGCTGATGTATTGTCATGTTTAGCTATTCGAGTGGAGAGCTGCATGATCGCCCTGGAACAAATGAGTTACACGGCTGATCTTAATTCGCTTAGCATGTTGGAACAAATATTTAAAGAATTGCCGTATTCCCTGCAACATAAGTGGGCGGAGACCATGGATCGGATTGCTCAAAACGACAGGGAGCCAAATTTTAGCGAACTGACAGAATTCATATCTGCAATGGCTAGAGTAGCAAGNATGAATGGCGTGGACGCTGATGTACTGTCATGTTTAGCTATTCGAATGGAGAGGTGCATGATTGCCCTGGAACAAATGGATTACACGGCTGATCTTAATTCGTTGGAACAAATAGTTAAAGAGTTACCGTATTCCCTGCAACAGAAGTGAGCGGAGACCGTGGATCGGATTGCTCCAAAAGACAGGGAGCCAAATTTTAGCGAACTGACAGAATTCATATCTGCAATGGCTAGAGTAGCAAGAAGTCGCTTTGGGCAACTTGCTAACCGAAACAGAAGAAGTAATAGACCCGTCCATTCTATACAACCTTCGAGCAGGCGTCAACCTCCATTAAACTATAGTGTAAATTTGGTCAAGAATATTAACGATCTACGCACACAAATAGGTGTGATTTGTGCTAAAAACCATCTCGTTTCATCTTCTTCGAGTTTTTCGGAGTTAAATACCCAGGAAAGATGGGCAAGACATGAAGATACGGTTTGTGTTTTATATGTTTAATGGGAAGCCATCGAGCGAATGACTGCAGTAATAAGACCTCTTGTGACGTGTGACGTCCCGCATTGTCTGTGCCTTATTTCTAGCCAGCTTGTAGTTGACCCAAGAACTATGCGTTCCGTGAAGCTTGTAGAGAGCCCAGCGCATTCTACGAGACGTGAGCGCTCTTTCTATTCTAGGTAACCACCAAGGAGGTTTGCTTCTGGATCAATGCGGAACCAAGGGAGCAAACTTCTTTGTTAACCGTAGTAACTCGTCTCGTATTGCCACCCATTGCTCTTCTACTGGTTCAAGTGAAATAGGAAACCAGCGAATGCTTTCAGCAACCAAGTTAAACGGAGCCTCCCACTGGTAGTACTTCGCACTCACAAGTAATAGTACCCTCCACCCAGCCTACCGTCTATTCTGTCCTGCCAATACCGGATGTGATTGTTAGGGTCAGTAGCCGCCTGGTCCTCTCTTAACCACGTCTCCGTGATGCCGATAATATCACTTGTGTGGGTTCTCGTCATTAGTTTGCCCCATTTACTTCCCTAGCTGCAGGCATTTGTATACCTCAAATCGGAAACATCGACCTGCGTTATAGGTTCCTTTTAACCTGCACCTTTTGGACCCTCGAGCAGAGTATCCAAGAGTGTACTACGTTTTTTGCTTTGCAGTTGTCTGCTCCTGTGGGCTCCTGCACCTGCAAAGAGATACTGCTTTTAGTCATGGAGACCTTTTTAAACGACAATTCAAGTACGGAACTATCCCCTCCGATTGGCTTCCCAGTCTCACCAGATGGGGTCGGCTCCCTGTAGTTCCCAGTTTTCGCAGGCGGCGTGCGAGCAACAACGGTTGCCCAGGCAACTCGATTTCCTTGATCACTACTGCAACTGTGCTCACATGGTATTGGTGAGGCTCGATGTGCTCAAACCTNCTCTCGTGGCCAGTGAACTATTCAAACTAGTTTTGACTCTGACCGCTACCAACCCATCTTTACCGGCAGCAGGTTTTGCCTTCAGTGTAGATCTACTGAGGGGCCTGCTATCTCTTTTAATGAGTCGTATAACCAGTTCCTTCAGTTTTGGCTCGGCTGCTGTATACGCCTCTTTGGATTGAGTAGTATTGACACTAACGTGAGAGTCTGGTGTGATTCTCAAGTACTCCATGTGCTCAGTTCCACTCTAGCAGCCCTTCCCGTGAGCAGTTCTCTGCTATGAATTCCATGGAACACTATCAACAGTGGGCTTGGAAGGTGTGACTTTGGACCCTTTCACAGTCCAATTCCATGACATTTGCTGCATTTTGTATCCGCTGGCAACCATGCTAGTCTAAAGGCATTCATTACATACCTGTGGTTCGTTTCCCGTCTAACCTTCGCTTTGTTCACCACCGATTCTGCGTAATTGTGCAACAGAAGTCTTCTTCTTCTTGCTAAAACCCATTCGGTGGTGGCTCTCATCTTAGCTATTTCTGCCTTCAAATTATTTATTTCCTTCCTCAGCGCCTCCCAACTGGCCTCAGACGGCTTTTTCGTCGGCTTCATCTTTTTCCCCTGGGATATTTGCTTTGGGCTTCTCGTAGCTGGTGCCCGCTCACACTTGGCGTTTCCCTGCGCCGCATTTTGAGAGAACTGCTCTTACCAATCGTTTGCGTCTTGTGTCCTTGGCCGAAGAGAGCCTAGCAGTAAGCGAGCGCACTCTTCAGTAAACATTACACGCGTGTGCACATCCATTTCAGGGTTTCGTGCTTCGTGTGTAGTTGGTAGTCCTGTTTTGTTAAGGTCGAGCACTGCTGATGATACCAATCCTGGCACGATTGATACTGGATACCAGAAATCACTGCTTTCTAACAGGCCTTATTACCGTATGTGTTACGATTGTACCGGCAACCATTATACAAGTGATTCCTTCACGACTGGGAATGAGTATGCACAATACGAACGCCCAAACTTATCGGTGAACAAATACAAAACAGATAGGATCACACTAAAGGGACACACGAAAACAGGCAAAACCGAAGTCGGTTTCAGGGTCGTTTGGAAATTTTTGCTATTGTGGTGCTGTATTTGTATTTTTGTTGCTATTATTGTTTGTTCTTGTCAACATTCGATACATAGCGTCACCCTTGATCACACTTACAAACTCAAAGTCGCCATACATTACGTCTCGTTACTAGTTATCGTGTATCATCAGTTCGCTGTCTTACTATACTCATTTTGTAGTATTCTTACTCTCCCTGTGAAACCAATTGATAATCTATCAATTCAAATTACATATAATGCCT